TAAAAAGTAATAGTAAGTATACTTCGTTTACTTTATGTAGCGATGTGACCTTCAGTTTGGTCGGCGCAAAGTAGAAAAGAACAGCACTAGGCCAGATAAGGAAGGAGACAACTCTCGGCCAAATTCCTAACCGGTGAGGAACGTATAATCCGTACAGTGCTGCACGGAAAGATTGACCATTTTATCTACTACAATTTCATTGCTCAAATGTGCTGTTATTGGTACCATTTACTACTGAAAATATCAACGAGATGTTTATTTATATTTGAAGACATATTAAAGGCTTTAACGCTTGTTTTCGATTCGCACTACTATTCATGATTGATCAAAACTTTTGGCAGGTACTGTATGAAAAAGTATGTTTAATGAACAAGAGTCGAGAGTATAATGAGCTTTTTTCTCTCTATCTACAATTTTGCCAGCGCGCATCCAAGACATTGGATGGGGCACAACGCTAGAGAAAGTAAATGAAGAATACCATATCTAGTTAATGTAATCGTGTGATTAAATAACTGTAAAATAAATACCCGCTAGAAAAAATACTACAAAATTCGTTACATTGCTGATTTACTTACCAATTATTAAAATTAATACAAAAATCAAAATTGTTTAGGAAAGANGCATCTGGTAGGATACTGGCTAGATTCGCGGCCTATCTGACCTAATCCAAGTTTCTCTGTGGTTTCCTTGGACTATTTAGGGTAATACTAGGGTAATAACTAACATTTCAATTATAAATAATCATTCAATATCCTTCTGTCTTTATTTTGTTCTTCTCATTTAGGCCTCCTCAGCCACCACCTTCCCATTCTCAGGGCTTATAAAAGAAGACTGCGGAGGGCCTTTTCCCCTTCCCTCCGGCTTTACAATAGAATGTAGGTAACATAGGTTCCGTCTCATGTAAAATTTCTGAAGAAGTCGATATCTTGGTGAAACATATAGATACTTAGTGAAACATACAGATAGGTATCTTCCAAGTGAAATTTATTTTTATAGAAATTTACTAAATCTATATTTTATAAGTACCATCAAACCCTGTGGTTTGAGAGATTAGGATTACAGAAATATTGTTGAGACACCTCATGGTAGCATACCAAAACCGTGGTAACGACCTAACCACCAGTGTGAGGAAATTACTGGAATAACATTATGCTTCATTAATTCCTTTGTCAACTTACCTTAAAGTCCACAGGGGAGTGCATCAGGTACATGTCAAGATAATTTAGGCCGAGAGCACTTAGAGATTGATTTATGGCGGGTTCCACATCTTCGGGCTTGTGGAAGGTATTCCATAATTTGCTGACAATAAATAGGTCTTCCCTTTTCACAACGCCTTCGTCTATTTTTGCTTTAATTGCTTCCCCGACCTCCTTCTCGTTTTGGTAGATCCAGGCGGTATCAATGTGTCTGTACCCAGCATCGATTGCATCCTTAACTGCTTGAAGCACGTCTGCTCCAGTAGACTACTCGAAAGAAATAATATGAAGGAAATTAAAATATAAAAGAATAGAAGATTTTATGAGATGTAAATGTAAATGTAAATAAGATTCTGATTCCGATGTTCTTTTCAAAAAGACTTAATATGTCGAAACAATACTGTACAGTTTAACATTAACGTTTTGAAACATTATAAACCATTTTTCTATGTATATACATATAGGAATATAAAAGAAATTAGTGTTTTTCCTGTTTTCTATCTAAAATCTATGTTATCAACATTCCTTTAGTGGATAGAAACATGATACATATTGACTAAATAATTATTTTTTTTATTGTTAGAGGATACAATAGCCCATTACATTACACGGAGTAGACAGGTTCATCTTCTGCGTGTTTTAATTATTACTATCTTATATACTCCATTGAATTATTCAGTGAATATAAATTAGTGTTAACCATCTTTAACTTTCCAAATTCAGCAATTTCGGTGACCTCTAAATTTTATGTTTTCGTGTAGAAACAAATACACAATTTTTGTTAAATAGAAAGTAAACAGTTAAAACAAAAAAATAACCGTATCTCCCAATTTTTTTAGTAGGTTATTTGAAAAACCCATCAGTGGCCTATTGCAGCTGTAACATAACTGTTTAACACCAATATTTTAATAAGATTTACGAAGATGAAAAGTTTAAGAATCTAAAGTTGATAGGGTTGATAACGTTTCTTTTTGCAGTTGTTTTTCTGTGAGTTTTATATTATTTTAACTTTTATAAGATGCATGAATATTATAAAGTAAAATGGACCAAAATAATTGACAGTTTTATGAATACTAAGCTGAATCCGCTGTATATTGTTGCATGAATGATTTACTTTGCTGTCTAAATACAGAATATATGGGTGTTTTTGATAATTCTAATTAATTCGAAGAAGTCAGATAAATCAGGATGGAAGGAGCAGCAGAGATATAAAATAGAAGATAGCGTAGGGTCGAGTCGCCTTCAACAAAAAGAAGTCACTCGCAAACGGTTAATTCACAAAATCAAAAAAGATTGTTAAAGGTTATGCATGGAGCGCTGTACAGGTGCGAAACATAGACGGTGGGCGCGGCGGAAAAGAAAAGGTTAGAAGCGTTTGAAATGTGGTGTTACAGGCGAATGATGAGGATACAGTGGATGGAGAAGGTTAGAAATGAAGAGGTATTATAAAGAACTAGAGAACAGAGGACTTTGGAAGTCAATCAGAAATGGGTAAGATAGGCTGATAGGACACCTTCTTAGGCATGAAAAGCTAGTGAAAAACATGTTAGAAACAGAAACAGGAGTTAAGAGGAGTAGAGGTAGACCTAGATTAGAATACTGTTCACAAATAGGAAATGGTGTGGAATGTTTTAGTTTTAGGGAAATACGAAGATTAGCTCAAGAGATCAGGATAGGAAAGAGTGAAGGTGTGTGTCCAACCAGTCGTAGGACTGATGACCATATAATGATGATGATGTTCCTGGCCAAGTTAGTCATCAAGATTTACATTTAAAAATCAACAACAACCTCTCGCATAGCGAATTCGAAGATAATTTTTATTGGAAGGCCCACTTGTTGATTACAGCATAATTGCCACTCTGTTCTTTAATTGATGTCATATGGGTGAACTTGTTATTATTTTTTAAATTTGGAGATTCATAAAACAATATAATGTAATTAATTGCACAAAATGTACTCTACTTAATAAGAATTTTAAATCTGTCTTTGGAGTGTCAGCTGTTTATTGTGTAACTTACTTGATTTGTTACTGGGACGACAGAACCTTTTTCAAGAATCCTCTCAATTTGTCGTTTGTTAAAGTTTGCTACACCAATTGATTTTGTCAATCCCTTGCGGTAAACATCTTCCATTGCTTTCCACGTGTCCACAAAGTCGATTCCTGCCGGTATTACATGTCCATCTTTATCAGTTGGAAAAAGAGAGTCTCCAACTTGCTAAAAGTAGATAAACAAAAATTTTAACTCGGATTTGGATAAGTGGAAGTAAACTTCCAACTTCATCGTGGAGCATTTAAAACCAGCCATTCTGTAAATGATTTAATAAAAAACGATAAGCAATAAAAATAAGCGAATATGAATATTCATTTCTTAATCTAATGTTACAGATCTAGTAATTATTTATATTTATACTTTCAACGAGAAGTTTCTGAAATACTACACACATACAGTAAACAGTGATAGTGTTGAGCTTTACTCAATTGCTCGAAAATTTATAAACTACTACATTTAAAATAATTCCCTAACAATTTTATTAATAAGAAATTAAATTAATTAATTCACTACTGCTAATTCCCTCCTTATCCCGAATCCTTCCGATTGTATACTAGTGTCAGACGGCGACATGACCCAGTAGATGACAGCTTAGCATCTGGTAGGATACTGGCTAGATTCGCGGCCTATCTGACCTAATCCAAGTTTCTCTGTGGTTTCCTTGGACTATTTAGGGTAATACTAGGGTAATAACTAACATTTCAATTATAAATAATCATTCAATATCCTTCTGTCTTTATTTTGTTCTTCTCATTTAGGCCTCCTCAGCCACCACCTTCCCATTCTCAGGGCTTATAAAAGAAGACTGCGGAGGGCCTTTTCCCCTTCCCTCCGGCTTTACAATAGAATGTAGGTAACATAGGTTCCGTCTCATGTAAAATTTCTGAAGAAGTCGATATCTTGGTGAAACATATAGATACTTAGTGAAACATACAGATAGGTATCTTCCAAGTGAAATTTATTTTTATAGAAATTTACTAAATCTATATTTTATAAGTACCATCAAACCCTGTGGTTTGAGAGATTAGGATTACAGAAATATTGTTGAGACACCTCATGGTAGCATACCAAAACCGTGGTAACGACCTAACCACCAGTGTGAGGAAATTACTGGAATAACATTATGCTTCATTAATTCCTTTGTCAACTTACCTTAAAGTCCACAGGGGAGTGCATCAGGTACATGTCAAGATAATTTAGGCCGAGAGCACTTAGAGATTGATTTATGGCGGGTTCCACATCTTCGGGCTTGTGGAAGGTATTCCATAATTTGCTGACAATAAATAGGTCTTCCCTTTTCACAACGCCTTCGTCTATTTTTGCTTTAATTGCTTCCCCGACCTCCTTCTCGTTTTGGTAGATCCAGGCGGTATCAATGTGTCTGTACCCAGCATCGATTGCATCCTTAACTGCTTGAAGCACGTCTGCTCCAGTAGACTACTCGAAAGAAATAATATGAAGGAAATTAAAATATAAAAGAATAGAAGATTTTATGAGATGTAAATGTAAATGTAAATAAGATTCTGATTCCGATGTTCTTTTCAAAAAGACTTAATATGTCGAAACAATACTGTACAGTTTAACATAAGACGTTTTGAAACATTATAAACCATTTTTCTTTGTATATACATATAGGAATATAAAAGAAATTAGTGTTTTTCCTGTTTTCTATCTAAAATCTATGTTATCAACATTCCTTTAGTGGATAGAAACATGATACATATTGACTAAATAATTATTTTTTTTATTGTTAGAGGATACAATAGCCCATTACATTACACGGAGTAGACAGGTTCATCTTCTGCGTGTTTTAATTATTACTATCTTATATACTCCATTGAATTATTCAGTGAATATAAATTAGTGTTAACCATCTTTAACTTTCCAAATTCAGCAATTTCGGTGACCTCTAAATTTTATGTTTTCGTGTAGAAACAAATACACAATTTTTGTTAAATAGAAAGTAAACAGTTAAAACAAAAAAATAACCGTATCTCCCAATTTTTTTAGTAGGTTATTTGAAAAACCCATCAGTGGCCTATTGCAGCTGTAACATAACTGTTTAACACCAATATTTTAATAAGATTTACGAAGATGAAAAGTTTAAGAATCTAAAGTTGATAGGGTTGATAACGTTTCTTTTTGCAGTTGTTTTTCTGTGAGTTTTATATTATTTTAACTTTTATAAGATGCATGAATATTATAAAGTAAAATGGACCAAAATAATTGACAGTTTTATGAATACTAAGCTGAATCCGCTGTATATTGTTGCATGAATGATTTACTAAGTTCTTTTTGTGACGTAAAGCACTTACTACGAATAGATTTTTAAAAATTCAACCCCTAAAAAATATGAAGACTGGAAAACTTTGGCGGTTGTTGTAGAACAAACAAAATAACCCAAACCCCAACGCCAAAACACGAAGAAGTCCGAAGAAGGTAATCTTGTTACCGAAAAAGATAACTAGTGTCGTGTTTTGGCGTTGGGGTTTGAGCTATTTTGTTTGTTCAACCCCTAGAAAGTATTTTTACAAATTCTATCAAAATACTACTGTCCAGTTTAAGCATAAGAAAACGTGTAAATTGACAGTCAAAAATTCATTCGCATATGAGTGAAATGGGCTTAAAGGTTCGTATGAAAGTAAAACAAATTGATAAAGATTTTGATCCATCTTATCATCGGAAGTAACTGAATATACCAATACAAAAAACATGGAAAAGTGCAGCGTAAAATTCTGGACATCTGGACTTTTCTGTGATGGTTGCATTAATTTTTAATTTTTCATTTGAACGAGAATAATAAA